AGCAAGAGCGAGACTACGTCTCTACTAAAAATAGAAAGAAATTAATTGGACAACTAAAAAAAAAATACATAGAAAAAGTTAGCCGGGCATGGTGGCGCATGTCTGTAGTCCCAGCTACTTGGGAGGCTGAGGCAGAAGGATTGCTTGAGCCCAGGAGTTGGAGGTTGCTGTGAGCTAGGCTGACGCCACGGCACTCATTCTAGCGGGGGCAACAAAGCAAGACTCTGTCTCAAAAAAAAAAAAAAAGCTATTCCCAGAGAAATCTTACTCCCATGCTAATGTCCTCAACCCTATTCCCACCCACTTTCTATAAGTAACCATTTCCATGAATTTCTGGTTTATCCTTCCTGTGTTTCTTTTTGCAAAAATAAGTAAACGTGTATATATTCTAATTTCTTCTTTTTCCTTACACAAAAAGGTAGCATACTATGTTTGCGCTTTTCACCTTGCTTTTTTCTCTTAATAATATAGACTGGAAATCATTCTGTACCACTTCATAGCACTCTTCCTTATTCTTTCTTATAGGACATTGCTTGGATGTTCCATGAAATGTTTTACGAGTAATTATATTTCCAGGCCAGACAACAAAAGTCTGTCCAAACCTGTATGATAACTGAAATGCTGCACTTTGGTAACAAAGTCAGTAGAATACTATTGCTATACTAATATTTAATACAAAAAAGCAGCAAAATGGAATATGTTTTTTAATGTACCTGTTAACATTTACTACACTGTATTGCCTCTTGAAAGGTGATGAAGGCTTGTAGGTTGTGGAAGGAGACTTCAGATACTATTAATGTTAAAGACACCATTCTTGACTCAAAACATGGTTTTATACAAATTTACCACGTCTCCTAGTTTTCTACCCAAGAGAATTAAAAACATAAGTCTGCCCGGGCGCAGTGGCTCATGCCTGTAATTCTAGCACTCTGGGAGGCCGAGGCGGGAGGATCGTTTGAGCTCAGGAGTTCGAGACCAGCCTGAACAAGAGCAAGACCCTGTCTCTACTAAAAATAGAAAGAAATTAGCTGGACAACTAAAAATATATATATAAAAAAATTAGCCAGGCATGGTGGCGCATGCCTGTAGTACCAGCTACTCGGGAGAGCTGAGGTAGGAGGATCGCTTAAGCCCAGGAATTTGAGGTTGCTGTGAGCTAGGCTGACGCCACGGCACTCTAGCCCGGGCAACAGAGTGAGACTCTGTCTCAAAAAAAAAAAAATGTCCACATAAAATCTTACACATGAGTGTTCACAGCAGTGTTATTCATAATAGTCAAGTGGAAACAAACCAAATGTCCATCAACTGATGAATAAGCAAAATATGGCATATTCATACAATGGAATATTATTCAGTGATAAAAAGCAATGAAGTAGCTGGGTGCAGTGGCATGTGCCTGTAGTCCCAGGCTCAGGAGACTGAAACACGAGGATTGCCTGGGCCCAGGAGCTCCAGGCTGTAGTGCCCTATGTTGGTGCCTGTGAATAGCCACTGCACTCCAGCCTGGGCAACACGGTGATACCCCATCTCTAAAGAAGCAAAGAAATGAAGTACGGACACATGCTACAAAATGGATGAACCTTGAAAACATGCTAAATGAATGGAGTTACAAAAGACCACATAGTATATGATTCCATTTATATGAAATATCCAGAAAAGACAAATCTATAAAAGATGAAAGTAGACTAATGGTCGTCTAGGGCTGGATGGTGGGAATAGGGATTAACTACATGAGGCATCTCTTTGGGTTGATAGAAGTGTTCTAAAACTGGATTTTGGTGATGGTTGCACAACTCAGTAAATTTACTAAAGATCATTAAATTGTACATTTGAAATGGGTGGGTTGTATGGTATGTAAATTATACCTCAGTAAAGCTGTTTTGTTTTAAATGAAAACATGGTTTTCCTTTTCCTTACTAATACACCAGCAGTACACACAATTACCATCCAGAATTAGTCAATAAATGATGTGCCTTATCTTTACAGCCCCAACCCCAGTACAGTAATGTTTGTAACATAGTAGGAGCTTAATAATTATTTACTGAGTGTATAGTATTATACGTTATTATTAATACAGGGTGTCCCAAAAGTTACCATAGGGAAAATGGGAAATTGTAGCTAAATGTACCTTTATTTACAAAATATTCACTATAAAATTTTTCCTTCAGAGACTTTTGGGACTGTGTATTATAATAATAGTATAATATAATACATGAGAAAAATTGCCTACAGGAAACTAACTGACCTGTCATTAGTGAGAACCCAGAAATGAAGCTAAATCCTGGGGATGGAGTGGCGGGGGTAGAATCGACAAGAGTCAATGTTAGAAAGGCAGACAGTCCCTACCCTGATTGTCTGATGCAGAAAAACAACTACAGTTACATATAGGTGCAGTGTGCAATATGACAGTTTTAGTTGTTTTCATCTTTTGCAAGTTGAAGAGTGCATAGAAACCACTTAAAACAAAGGGGAGAAGGGGTAGAATTGCTTTTTTTTTTTAAGAAAGCAAAGGACTCAGTAAAATCAGAAAAGTTTATTACCATTCATTATGAATAATTTAAAAGTAATATCAGCAAGTTGGTCTTCATACAAGTTCCTTTTAAATATAAAAAATGTCAGTGTATGATCAATTCCATCAAATCAGCCCAATACAAAAAGGACTGATTTTTTTGTCAGTGCAAGAGAGTACTCCCACTCTCCCAGACTTGAGGATCACACCTCCATTTATTAGAGGAAACAAGTTTGCCCAAACAAAACCTAGGCTTACATGTAGGAATTTGCCAGGCAAAGGAGGAGCAGGAGGCACTATTAAATTAAAAGCCACTTAAAAAGATTCTAGTAGCTAAACGGAAACTTCCCAGAGACAGCCCCACAAGTGACAGCCATGTTTTTAGCTTAGCCCCTTTCAACCATGAAGTCCTGTAAGTATCCCAGGCAGCATCAATCAGAATATCCTGAGACTGGAATACATTGGAGCTTTCATTTGGCTGGCTGTCGGAAATCTCCTCCACAAGCCCACAGGCCAGTTGACTCCTATGGTCCCCACACTACTGTAATAGCAGCCCCACTTTCCAAAGTGCTACTGGGCCTTAGTTGAGGAGGGCCACCACATCCTCTTCCAGTAAATATACTGCTAAAACAGAATCCTTGCCACCCCCCACAGGGGGTCCTGGGTCTCACACCAGAAAATAGATACAGTACATTGAAATTGAGACAGCATGAGCTGGACAATAGTATCCAACCTGGACCCTCCACAGCTTTAGATAATCAATGATGTAGAAACAGACACCAGTGAAGAACTGTGAAGTGGAGGGTGCAGTGATGAAAGAAAAGCAAAATAAAACACTTTAGTCCATGATGAGGGAAACTGGAAAGAAGGAAGAATAAGTTTATATAACCTTTTATCTTCGATCAGTACTTGATATCTGCTTGACCAGGTTCGATTCTTCAGTAGTGTTGCCAGATTTATCAAATAAAAATACAAGATGCCCCATTAAATTTGACTTTCAGGTAAACAATAAATTTTTTAGTTTATGTTCCAAATAGTTCATGATACATACACTAAAAAATTATTTCTTTTTTTTTTAAGACTAGTCAAGTGCAGTAGTGAGGAGGGGGGGAGTAGTAAAACAAGGAGTTCAATCTGTAACTGACTGTGAACAATCAAGTGAGATAACTCACTACCTTAGGACCAGCCCTAAAAAATTATTTCTAACAGATTATTTGAAGTTCAAATTCAGCAGGACCTTGTGTACTTTATCTGTCAACCCTATCCAGAAGGTTGAGTTAGCCTGAGGCTACTCTGACCATATCTTGTCATAGAGCAACACGGAGACTACCAAAGAACAAAGCACAAGACACTTCACCCACAGCAGGGGCGGGGGAAGGTATGCGATCCTTTTAGCTCCCAAACTCTCAAAAACCTGATGCTGTTTGGCAGGGAGGGTGTGTGCACCATGGAGTTATCAACCGCTATCTGCCAGGTAAAATTTTCCTTCCACATCAAATGAAGGTCAAAAATAAAACTAGGGGAAAGGAGAAGCAGGCCCACTGGGATATGTAATCTCACTGATAGCCCTAGGGCAAGTTGAACAACTCCAGCGAAACCTGAAGTCTTACAGACTACAAGAGGGACAGCTTCCGGGTGTGGAAATAAGGATCCAACATACTCCAACTGGAGCAACTAAAAGACCTCAAAGCCAAGCATGGTGGCATGTGCCTATAATCCCAGGTATGGGGGAAGGATTGCTTGAGCTCAGAGGGTTTAAGTCTACCCTAGGCAATGTAGCAAGACCCCATCTCTTAAAAAAACAAACCAACAGGTGAGGTGGTTCACTCCTGTAATCCCAACACTTTGGTAAGGTTGAGCTGGGATGATCACTTGAGTTCAAGACCAGCCTGGGCAATATAGCAAGACCCAGTCTCTAAAAAAAATTTAAAAATTAGCTTGGCTTGGTGGCACACACCTGTAGTTGTAATTACTTGGGAGGCTGAGGCAGGAGGATGACTTGAACCCAGGAGCTGAAGGTTACGGTGAGCTATGATTGTGCTACTGCACTCTAGCCTGGGCAACACAGGGAGACCCAGTCTCTAAAAAAAAGGCCCACAGGGCTGAATAAACACACTGGGAGGTGTACTGAGGAAAGGATAGGAAGCTAGCAAGGCAGCCTTTATAGACTCACAGAAATGATGGTGGACGAGAAGTCCCAGAAGAAAGCTTAGAACTCCTTGACAATGACTGGCAGGACAATTTGTTTTGTTTTATTTTTGTTTTATTTGGGTGGTTATCCTTGAGTAGTCTATCCCTAAAACAAAAAGTAACAGATTCAGAGAGGGTGGTGGAGAGAGAAAAAAAAAAGTGAAGACTCAGGCACAGCTTTTCATGGGGGGTTGATAATTCCACATCACAAGGCCCAAACTGCTATCAGAATCTGAGAGCAGATCTCATTATCAAATCCCATACCCAGGCCGGGCGTGGTGGCTCACGCCTGTAATCCTAGCACTCTGGGAGGCCGAGGCGGGCGGATCATTTGCGCTCAGGAGTTTGAGATGAGCCTGAGCAAAAGCGACACCCCATCTCTACTAAAAATAGAAAGAAATTAATTGGACAGCTAAAAATATATAGAAAAAACTAGCCGGGCATGGTGGCGCATGCCTGTAGTCCCAGCTACTTGGGAGGCTGAGGCAGGAGGATCGCTTGAGCCCAGGAGTTTGAGGTTGCTGTGAGCTAGGCTGATGCCACGGCACTCACTCTAGCCCGAGCAACAGACTGAGACTCTGTCTCAAAAAAAAAAAAAAGAATGGGAGGAACACCCAGGAATCACACATACAGTGGTTGTCAATTCTAGTAGAAGTACACGTGAAAAACAAAAAAGAAAAAATGGTTTTCAAAAATTAGTATATTGGCCGGGCGTGGCGGCTAACGCCTGTAATCCTAGCACTCTGGGAGGCCAAGGCAGGTGGATCCTTTGAGCTGCTCAGTAGTTCAAGACCAGCCTGAGCAAGAGCGAGACCCCGTCTCTACTAAAAATAAAAAGAAATTGGCCAAACAACTAAAAATAGAAAAAATTAGCTGGGCATGGCGGCGCATGCCTGTAGTCCCAGCTACCTGGGAGGCTGAGGCAGGAGGATCGCTTGAGCCCCGGAGTTTGAGGTTGCAGTGAGCTCTGATGATGCCACTGCACTCTAGCCGGGGCAACAGAGTAAGACCCCATCTCAAAAAAAAAAAAAATTATCTATCTATCAGATAGTCTATCAGAAAGTTTAAGGCAACAATTTGAAAACAGAATAATCTTGTCCTGTGAGACACTTGCTCAATGGTAAATATAGCAAGGAAAGCTAAAATTAGATTTAAAAGCAGACAAGCAAAAGCCCACAAAGAACAGTACTAGACTGCTCTGGTCAGTCGTGGCCTGGCAAGGAGAGAAAGGAACAGCACTGAGTGGCGTCTCCTCTTAACACTTTGACAGGGGACGGACGGATGGAGACAGACACACACACACACACACACACACACACACACACTTCCTCCATAAGGGTCAGACCAAACTTCAAAGCAGCCATGTACCAACTAATTAGTCTGTCTTCATTCTTCCAAAAGCCAAATATCCTGGAGTCTAGAGTTTCTAGTAGAAGAGAAAAATGGCTCATGCTGGCACTCTTAACTGCTGTCGAAGGAATCCCCTCCCTTAAACTCCTTAGGTGCAGCCCCACGTAGCACCCAAAAGCTATAAGAGGATGCACTTCTTGGTGTTCTTCTTTGTGGCAGGGTAAAGCACAGCCCGGACAGCTTCTGAAAATACCTCACGCACCCCATCCTGCATCAGGGCCGAACATTCCAAATACTTCACAGCCCCCACCTGCTTAGCCAAGGCAGCGCCCTGTTGAGGAGTTGTGGGCACTAGGCTCTGCTCCTTCAGCTTCTTCACTGTTTCGAGGTCACTCCGCAGGTCTCTCTTGGTGCCTACCAGCAGAACAGGTACATTGGGGCAATGATGGGAGACCTCTGGGTGCCACTTATGCCTCACATTGGCATAAGAGGATGGGTTGCCAATGGAAAAACAAATGACAAAGATATTGGTCTGGGGGTAGGAGAGTGTTCGCAGTCGGTCATACTCCTCTTGGCCAGCGGTGTCCCACAGGTTCAGGCTGACGATTTGGCCATCCACAGATGTCTGGGCACTATAGTTGTCAAAGACAGTGGGGATATACTCCTCAGGAAAGGCATTTGTTGTATAACTGATGAGGAGGCAGGTTTTACCTACAGCCCCATCTCCTACAAGCACACATTTGATTGTCTGCATTCTTCCCTTGTAATCCTATGTATAAGAAAGAAAGAGAAAGAATGTTCAGAGATATTTGGTCAATTTAGGGATCCAATGCTTTATAAATATTTCTCTCTTGAGGACCCTTCCACTCTCTATCCCCTTAATGCTATAGAAGAGTCAGCTGCAAAAGTTTGTATAGGGCAAGAGCTCTTATCCTGGAGTCTATGGACTGCCAGAGGATAAGTTTTACTAGCTATGTACAATATTATGTATATGTCTACAAGTGAATTTTTCTGTAAAGAAGATCCAAAGCTGTCATAAGATCCTCCAAAAAAATTAAATTAAAAAAGCTATAAGCTGAAAAAGATTTTAAAAAACATTCATATACACAGGCATTTATGTTAACACTGTTGTCACATGGTCCAGATATAGTGTATCTAAGGTGCTAAAATATTCTAGGTGCTCAATAAATTGTAACTGATTTAAAAAATTTTCCTAGCATTCTGGGAGGCCGAGGCGGGCGGATCGTTTGAGCTCAGGAGTTCAAGACCAGCCTGAGTAAGAGCGAGACCCTGTCTCTACTAAAAATAGAAAGAAATTAATCAGACAACTAAAAATATATAGAAAAAATTAGCCAGGCATGGTGGCGCATGCCTGTAGTCCCAGCTACTCGGAAGGCTGAGGCAGGAGGATCACTTGAGCCCAGGAGTTTGAGGTTGCTGTGAGCTAGACTGACGCCACGGCGCTCACTCTAGCCCGGGCAACAAAGCGAGACTCTGTCTCAGAAAAAATAAAAAAAAAATTGGTATATTAAAGTTTCCAAGGTCAAAACAAAAGAAACATGGCTCTCGCTTTGGGTCTGTGGCTATAGACTCAGCAAAGGAACCTCCATTTCTGAAAAACAGTGACATCGTAATACTGGACAGAAAGGAAGACAAGTCAAGCTGAGCCATATAGAAAAGTGATTACCTGTCAAGGCTCTGAAGTCAGACTGCCTGGAGTCAAAAACCAGTCCTCCTTCTAAGCTTTGTGAACTTGCACAAGTTTTTCACCTGAGGGTTAAATGAAAGAAGGCATGGGTAGTACTTATCCATTCTCATTAAGTACTTAGGCAGTATTCATTAAGTGTTAGAAGCTAGAATGACTTCTTAATAGTTATTCTACTATTCTACTAGGGAAGGCAAAAATTCAGTAATATGGTTATAATGCTAGACAAACCAGGGATCTCATCCCCTCTGAGTAAACTACAGGTCATAATACAAATACTCTTGTTCATTTCTTCATGAACCAAGTAGTTCAGAATAAATGATATGATAGAGATGATCTCCAAGAAGCATGTTTACTATGAGCTCCTATATTTATGCCTCCATATTAATACCCCATCAATGTCCTACACTCAAATTAGGCCGCAAAGCACTCCATTTTCTGTAGGTTCTTAACTACTGCCCTAATTTCAGATCCAATCCTTACAGCATTAAATTCTTCAAGTTGTCAGAACATGGAAGAAAGGGGATAGTCATATGTATTTGGTTACAGAAAAATATCTGAGAATTAATTTCTCACTTCGAGGATTTAGAGGAATAGATACATTCTCCATCCTATTGTCTTAATAGCTAAGATCTATATTAGGCCCATATCATAGGACAAAAACAAAATAAACAAAACACCTCATTTTGGGTCAAGGTGAAGAAAACTGGCCCTCAGAGCAGGCTTCCCACAAGCCCACTAGGGGTAGCTCTCTCCCCACAAAGAACCAATTCTGAGCAGCTAGGCCTTCCACCTAGAAGTTGTCTTAAGTCGTCTTTAGCACAGGTCCCACAGCTAAAAGAAATCCAGAGCATGTAAGTTTAGATCTGGTAGGCGACCACCCCAGGGTACTCAATGACCAGCAGCTCCGTATCTTTTTCAGATTTTTAAAATTTTTTTTTAAATTTTTACTGATTGACAGTTTTCATAAACTGTCTTTTTCCATCTAGGAATAGGCATAACTGATCGAACACACAAGGTCAACAGAAACAGGGCAAAGTTACCACCACATTTCTTTTTTTTTTTTTTTGAGACAGAGTCTCACTCTGTTGCCC